TAACGCTGAGCACTTCTTTGGCAATTCATGTATTGCAGGTGTGAAAATACGGATGGCACAAAGTACTATTCAAACAGCTGTCTGGCTGAAATCGATCCTCAGGATCACTTGAGGACCCTGGCACACCCAAGCAAAGCACAGGAGGCGGGTTAAAAGCAAGTTAAAAGTCCAGACCTCCAGCTGACGGGTTTTCCACACGTTTTCCACACGTGTGTGTGTGTGTGTTAGACATGGAGAAACGGTACCTCCCAGTGACTGAGCTCAGCACAGACCTTCCCCGCAGAGCTCCCTGCCTGGATGCTTGATGAGCCACAAGAAACGAGATGTCAAAGAAGCACAAGATAAAAGTGAACAAAGCAGTCAGCACCTGATGAAAAACGCAAGCTCCTACAACCATTTTCAGTGCCAGCTCCTTATCAGGTGAGAACTGTCACGAGAAAACAACCTCATTTCCATTCCTTCCCACCAAAATCCTCCCAGACACATTGCCTGGTTGCCTCAGTCTGCCACAAAAAGGCAACTTGTGCCCAGCTTTGTTGCAACACAGCAAGCTTCATTTATCTCCATCATTACCGATGAACCATGAAATTCAGCCAATAAAAAAAAAAATTAAAAAAAAATGCAGAAGCCCCAAACTTAATTTCAGTCATAGAGCACTGCTAGAGCCTGATAACCGAGAGCAGCATCCTTTGTCTGCCAGACAGAAGCTCAGAGCAAGCTCCGCTAATGAACTGTTGACAATGTCAACAATGGAAAGAGCACAATAGATGCAGTGTATTTATCTGCATTGTCACCGCACCGAAACAGCTGCCGTCTGTGGAAAACCACTGTGCTGCTTGTGCAGAGCTCCCTCTTTGCATAAATCACCCTCCCAGACGGCCTTGTAAACAACAACAGCACAATGCAGCACATAGAAAACTGTACGTTAAAATCACAACGTTTACAGCGAAAAGCTTGGGCAAAGTCCCTGGGACAGGTCCTTCGAACCGCAGCCCTGGAGGAGCCTCCCATGTGCTTCCCGGACACAGAAAACAGCTGATCATCTGCTTCCCACATGAGGCAACCCCGCCGCAGGGCAGGCACAAGCCTCAGAGCTTGAGCTCAGCGTTAGTCACCCAGGAAGGACTGCCCAGGGGCTGCTACGGGTGACGAGTGAAGTCCTCTGTGCTACCAGGCGAGCTACAGGCGCAGAGTTTCCACAGGAAGCCTCCACGGCTGCTGGACGGCTTGTACGGCTGGACAAAGGTTGAGTGCCAGCACAGCAGAAGATAACCGAGAAGTTCCGGAGAGCTTTTCCAGGTAAACACCGCTGGCAGCAATCTGGTGAAGGTGAAGAAAAGGGAGTGCAGCTGGAGGAAAGCAAGCGGAGAAGCAGACACAATAACAAAAAGGAGAGCGAGGGGAAAAAAGGCCACAACAGAGCAGAATGAGTCAGAGGAGGGATGGAAAGAAGAAAGGGGAGGGAATGAGCACTTTGGAAAGGAAGTCCATCTAGGAAGAAAAAAACATGCAACACTGAAAAGCATTTCTGACTTGACAGCTCAGAGTATCAGAGCTGCACCAGGCATGGGGCAAACAGCCACACTGGAAGAGCATCTGGGCTTCTGTACCAATCACGAAAGCAACAGAGCAGTGGTATGGGGCAGCACAGCCCCATATGGGGCAGAGCAGGGCTGCCAGAGAACACCCTGCCACTCCAAAGGCAAACCAAACCCAAACTCTGAAAGGTTGCTAATGAGCTCACAGGTAGATGACTGCACTGACGTTGGATCAGGTTCCAGGATAAATCTTAACCAAGAATCCTTAGAAGTAAGAGGTAGAGAAAACAGAAGGGAAAAATAAAGAAGTGCTTTTCTAGACTTATACTTCGCTTCCAGCACCTACTGGGTCTGTTGCAACGACTTCTAAATCACCAACATAAAGCCAGCTCCTAAGTCCAGGGGCTGTCTTTCTCATCCAGTGATTTGAATACAAACATTGTTTATTCTGCATACAGAAAGGCACAGACAGATTAGTAACATCAAGAGTGAACTAGCCTGTGTTTGTCTGTGAGCCTCTCTGTGCATTTGCCTACAGCAAGGGCTGGGCACGCTTCAGACACAAATAAGATACTAGCAAGTTACTGGTAACATCACAGTGAATCACGTTAAGTCACCCTGCAGGTATGCACATATCTAACCTTGTTTACTAGCTCGCTAGTAAGACGCCTCGTGTTGCTGAACATCCTTGGCCCTCAGCATCATAACATGCTCCAGATGCAGGCACGGAGCGCGCCGTGCCATGTGCTGTTATTAGTTATCAAAGGCAAGACCAGGCTGCGTGTATGCCCTGCTCCCCCACGGGGACCTCCTCTTTTCTCCTGCCAAAGCAGGGGTGAGACGAACAGCGCACGCCGAAAGCAGTGCCTCCCATCTCCTCCTCTGCAACCACAAAGCACCCTGAGGGTCTAAGTACGAGCAGGGAGAGATTGTGGAGGGCAAGGAAAGGGGCAGGGGAGGAGAAATGGAAGGAGAAGGCAGGTTGTGCTGTTTGCTCTGGCTGAGCAAGAAAAAGAGCACACTGCTGCTCGGTGTTAGCTGTTTGCTGAAACCAGCTATAACGGTGACAACCAACTCTTCCTAAAATTGCTCACATTAAGAAAAATATATAAATTCTTCCAAAAAGAAGTCAGTAACATCAAATAGCTCAACCTTGCACTCCTCAAGCACATCCCCGTACTGTAACACACCGCAGCATGACCAAGCTGCGGGATAATTCTAGTTCTTCTAATGCTCCTTAAGCAAATCTGTAGGAGCGCTGCATTCTTTCACTGCAATGCAAATTTGGTTTGCAGCATTTAACCACTTCCTCCAGATAAAAGGCACGGCTAATATTCAGATTCTTTCGGAAAGCCCAAGATAAATACACCAACAAACACACATACATATGCATATACATCTGTATGCATATAAACACACACAGATCTATATGACCGAATGCTAACACGCACGAGGCTGTATCTCTGTCAGGTGTTTTTGCTGGGTTAAACACATCGAGCTTTACCACTGCTTTTAAACAGGACATGAAGAAACCGTGCTTACCCCAGAAGTTTTCTCAAGAGCGGACATGCGCCACGCAGCCTGTGCTTAGAGCCAAGTCTCTGCATCAGTGTCACTCAGTTAAATGAGATTTTTATGTTTCGGCTTCATGACGTTACACAAGGCTGTGGGCACTCAGTTTAAAATGCCGGCGTGATGAAGTGTTCTCCCGGCAGAGAAACACACTTGGCAAAGTAATTTTCTTCAGCCCAGGAGCAGCTTAATTTTAAAGAGTACTACTGAAATTGTGAGGCGCGCCGTGACTGCTTACAAACTATTCTGGGTTTTGATTCCGTCTCCGCTGCAGATTTAACCTCCACCTCCTTGCCAAGCCAAATAGATCACAATCTGCTTACATTAGCCTTCAATTTTTCAAACCCTGGCCTGGTGCTTTGGCTCATTCCAGGTCTGTTCCCGAGATAGGGGCAAACGGAGGTTGCTGGCTCCGGGTCTCGGGCAGGATCTGAGGATGTTTCCCTTTTTCCAGCTGTTCGTGGACCAACATCGCGTGTCACCTGGCCCTGCCGAGCACACCCCAAGCACTGACTGTAACCCCACCTGGCTGCACCTGCCCTGACGATGCTTTGGCGATGCACGAACCCACCTCAGCACTCCACAAAAGCCTCACTGCGCTTCGAGGCTCTTGCAGGAGGCGCCGAGGGACGAATTTAACGAGGGGCCGGAGCCCGGGACCCCCAGGGCCCGATCCTGCCTGCCCCCAGCTCCCCAGCGGGGCCCCATCCCCAGCGCCCGCCGCCTGCAGAGGGCACCCGGCCCCCGCGAGTGGCGGTGGTGCCCGGCCGGGAGGCGACACCACGGCCCCGGGATGCCACCGGCACCGGGGGGGGGACACGACCCGGCCGGGGGGAGCCCTCCGGGGCTGCTCTGCCGCTCCCAGCCAGCTGAAACCCGGGGATAAAAGCAGGCAGCAATCGGAGGGCACCCCGCGGGTTAACACGCGGGGGCTGAGCAGGGGGAGCCCCCCGGGGCCGCTCCAGCCGCTGCCGAAACGGGAAGGGAGAAGGAAAATGGCTCGGGCCGCGGCTGCTGGGACTGCCCTGAGCTGCGCTGCACGAAGTTAGGGCAGCAACTGCGCTCGCTCCCAGCGCCGCGAGAGTCCACTGCCAAGCGCCGCTGACGGCATTTTTTTTCTTTTTTTTTTCTTTTTTTCCTATTTTTCCTTTTCCTTTTTTTTCCTCCTTTTTCTCTTTTTTTTTTTCCTTTTTTTTTTCTTTTCCTTTTTCCCTTTTTTTTTCCTTTTCCTTTTTTTTTCCCTTTTCCTTTTTTTTTTTTTTCTTTTTCCCACCCCCTTGCCGACAAGCTGGGGGCTTCCCCCTTAGCCCCTCTCCCCCCAGCACCCCCAAGGGTGCCAACACCGACCCCCGCGGGGGAGGACCGCTCGTTTCCAGCCACGAAACCACCCCAAAAAACAGCCCAACCGAGACAAGCACAGCTCGGCTTGAGCTGCCGACCGCAGAGCGCCGCTCCCCAGCCCCGTCCCGTCCCCTCGCCCCCCTCGGAGCTGGAAGGGAGAGAGGGGGACACCCCCACCGCATCCCCCCCCCTCAAACCTTGGCAGCAGCGGGGAGCGGGACAGCTCGGGCCGGTCCTCGGGGAAGGAGTCGAGGAGGCGCTTGAAGAGGCGCCCCAGGTCGGAGTAGCTGCGGTGCAGGTAGAGGACGTTGCGGTCCGACCACTCGGTGCGGATCTCGTAAAACTCCTCCTCGTCGCCCCGGCGGCTGATGACGAGCCGGCGGATGCCGTTCACCCAGCAGCCCCGCACGTACATGTTCACCAGCGAGGTGCCCTCGAACACGGCCGAGGCCATCCCGCCGCCGGCGGAGGGCGAAGCCAGCCGCCCCGCCCGCCGCGCCCCACTTAAGGGGAGGAGGAGGAAGAGGAGGAGGAGGAGGAGGAGGAGGAGGAGGATGGGGGGTGCCACCCGGCGCACCCCCTGGGGCGGAGGAGCAGGGCGGCCCGGCCCCTTCTTCCCCGCCGCCGCCAGGGGGGGAGGCTCCGGGCAGGGAGGTGGGAGCGGGGCTGCGGCCCCCCAAATCCCCCCAAAACCCTCCCAAATCCCCCCGTCTCCCCGCCGCCCCCGAAGGCCCCGCGGAGGGCGGCGGGATCCTCCTCTTCCTCCCCGGGACGGTTTCGCAGACGCCACAGACGTGACGAGGAATTTGGTTTTCCCCTCCCAGTGACCCTAGAAGTCTTTTTTGTTTTTCCTCTCTCTCTTTCTTTATTTATTTTTTTTTTTTCTTCAAACTTCCAGGCCAGCTGAGGAAGGAAGCCTCCGGCTGCTGCATGCGAGGCTGCGGGCACCCAGCACCCCACAGGGCTCCCCTGTGCCGTGGGGAGCCCGAAAGGAGACATCCGTGGGGAAAGGGAAGCCCATGACACGGAGAAAGGCAGCAAGGACTCTTGGCAGCCCCATGAGCCAGCATCCCCATTTGAGACCCAGCTGTGCTGCCCGTGATGGGAAGCCCACCCTTGCACATGGGTGCCCCCAAGCAGTGCGTAATGCACCCCGGGGGTGCCTGTGGGGTCGTACAGCAAGGGAACATGGGGGGGAGACACCCGGCTGCCAGAAAATGCCTGGAGGCTGCGAAAAGGACGTGCACATTCCTGGAGGTGTAGGGAATGACAGCACGGTGATGTGGGGTGCGTCATCTGGACTGGGCCTCTGCGTGCGGGACCTGCAGCAGGGAGCACCCTGCGGGACAGGGGATCGGGGTGAGGTGGGCGACGTGGAAAGTCTCATATGTAAGGAACACAAACAGCAGAGCCCTGCTTCTCCACACAGAGACACACGTGCCTGCTCGCCGCAGCCTCGCTCCACAGTGAGGCCCATCCACCTCACCTTGGCTCACCACAAAAGGGTTTTCGCAGCCCTGTAGGGCTAGACACCCTCGTGCCGCGGGTATGGGCTGCCCAGAATGTGCAATGTGGTTCCGCAGGAAAGGAATCGCCGCAAATCTTTGTCCCGCAGGAGGATCTCGGCACAGTGCTTTTTGTTCAGGACGGGCTTTTGTGATCTCTCCTCTTGTCCCAGCGCTTGGTGGTCTCCCCAGCTCTTCCATGGAAAAAACAAAACAAGAAAATAAAATGCCTTCTCTTCTGACAGTTGCTGTGGCAACCTGAAATAGCCACGTATCTGAGGGAAGTGAAACTTTTAGGAAGAGAGCTGTAAGACTATACCCCCCCCCCCCCTTTCTGAAAGATGTCAGCCTTGAGTTGCTTCTAACTATTCGCATGCTTGACTTCTGCTCATTCCTACTGGTATTTTTTGCCTTTGCTATAGAATGAGTTTTGCTGTTGTCAGCCTGCCCACGAAGTGTGTGCAACTCCCAGACCTCCGAGGCTCTCAGCACCTCACCAAAGCTCTGGCCTCAGCTTGATTCCTCAGTTAAGAGGTCTTGCAGACCCACTTTTGCTGGGTTATGGGTGATGTGCAGTGTCCTGTAGGCTTGAGTCATTAAACGTTTGGTTCCATTTTTCTTTCAGTCTGACTGGTGGCACCCTTCCAACTTTATTAAAAAGTTCTGATCGCGCTAAACCCTATGTGACTGTCACTGCCTGCTTATGACAAAATAAGTCTATGCCAACATTTTTACATCCAAAAGGCTTGAAGTCGACATACTGGTGCCAGATCCTGATTTTTAGGAGTATGAAAAGTTGAAGTATTCCTATAACTAATGCTGTACATGTAGAATTTGTAGGATCGGTTCCTTATTCCCCCAAGAGTACGATACTATTCCAGAAAAAGCAGTCTTGATCCCGTAAGTTTAGAAGCACAACATCCCCTTTTCGGAGTGAAAGGGTAAGCTGTGGTGCAGCTTCGAACTTGCCACTGAGCACTTCTGGTGGCTGCCTCGTTGCCTGTGGGCGAGTCCACAGCCCACTGGAATTTAATCTGCTTCTCACCTCAGGTGGCAGGGCACGCGTATAACATATCTGTCCTCTTGTCAACCCGGTACGTGTAGCAGTGTAATGCCGGCCAGGCACTAAATCTGGGCAGAACTGCTGCTCAGGAAGGTTGGCTTAGTAATAATCATCTGTTACTGTGTGGCGCTGGGAAAGTTTCGCCGGGAAATGCTCACACACAGAAAATAGATGTTTGCATTAGAATAGCAGGTGTGCTGAGCAGGAAGGCAGCTCTTGCAAGATTTTCTGCACTCTGGAATGTAAAATGGATGAGGATGGATAGTCACAAGGGACACAGACATCTTGCAGATGAAAGTATCTCCTATTATCAGCACCTTCTATTGTTGCTATACTAATTGTATCTGTCATGCACTTTTAAAAGTACATAGAGGGCAGTCATTTGCATTTGACTAGTTTTTCATGTGCATGCAGCATGGGCAGAGGCACTGCGCAGCAGCTGCTCTTCAGCAGAAAACGGGGAATATGGATTTGCCCTTTTTTAAAGACAGGCTTTTATTGAAAGCCATTTTATTCCTTTTGTGTGTGACACTTTGGGTTACTATTTTCCATATTTAAGTTTGGAGACATAAGTGGCAATTGCACCTGACAGAAGAAAGATGCTGGTTGAGTATGTATTTTATTCCTTTGCATTTTTTGTGCTCTTATTGTTTCATTGGAGTCGTAAAATACTAGCAGGACACATGTATTCTCCTGGGCCATTTATTAGCTTCATTTCTACCTACAAGTTTTTCAGTCTTGCGTTTGGTTTCACAAGCTGGTAATCAATTTCATTCATTTAAAATACATGCAGAGCACCTACCATATACTGTTAATCACCTTGCTGAGGTGACCCAGGCTCTTTGGAGATTAATCTGGCCAAAATTTCACCCCCAAGTCTTCAACAGATGCAAAGTGATGCAACAAAATGGCCTGAATTTGTGAAGAGGCCAGCATCAAATCACTAGTGTTTAAGAAGCCCAGGAGCAGGGTAACTCTTCCCTCTTACATTTAGACAGTGAACTATGGCTGGAAACACAGATGAAGATGATTGAGTCTGTGGTTCTAACCTCATAGCATGCTGGGACATCTGCCAGCCCTGCTTTTTCAGGTTTCTTCATCCATGTAGTGGTAGTGATAGGGATACTAGCCTTCTGTCACATACAAAAGGCTATGGGGACTTCTGGTAGCGGTCCCCACACCACCTACCTTTTCTCCATGTGTCCTACACCCTCCAGTCCATTGCAGCACTTCCTTTGCCCTTACTTGTTATAGTCTCCACTAATTATTGACTCCAAGACTGCATCTGTATTTGGGTGGAACTTCATGTAAACATCCAAGAAGATCTCTCTCTGTTATTGTTTGAAAGTCATTAGGGTTTCCTTTTGCCATTATACCTTCAACCCCCTTAGCTGAGAGGCATGGTGATTCACCCTCTTTCTGTCCACATCCATAATCTATATAATTCACAGGATAGGGAACAGGCTTTTTGTGCTACACAGATAGATAAAGTCCTCATTTTTTGGCAGAAGACCTTATAGCAAGCAATAAGGACCATCCACTACTGCAAAACATGGCATAAGGAAAGCAGTTTTCACCTTAAGGAAAAAACACACCATCTGAACCAAAGTGTCTTTTGTGAGTGCATCCCCTGAAGCTGGCAGGTTTCACTACCTTGGTTTAGCTCATTAGCCTCCCTACAAGGAAACACATTGCAGAAATAGCAGCAGCCACCAAGCAGGCAACGCACATCCCCACCTGCCAGGTGATCTGGGTGAAGCACGCAGTACTGTGGCATGGAGCAAGAAGAACCAGCCAGGAGCAGAGAGGGGAGGTATTTCCTTCAGCTGGCACTGCCACCACAACTCAAGCACTGGAAAATGCCAATTTGAGAAAGGAGTCTGCGTGGCTTTGGTTCATCACGCTGGAAACAGTCAGAGGCAGGAGGGGGAGAATGCCTGCCTTGGGGGGAGAGGCTCTCTGGTCAAGTCTTCCCTTGCTCAAAGAAGCTGACTTTCTTCGTCCTTGTAAATAAGACAAAATTGCACCCCGGGTGCCTGGCTCCATTAAGCATTTCTCTAACTGGAACAAGTGTTCAAGACCCCAACATTTCAACAAGCTGCTTAACACATCAAAAAGCAGGAACAGTTCCCAAGCCTGGAGTCACCAAAGAGCTCTTGCCTGGGGAATTTATAAAGCTGTTCCTGCTGGGAAAACATGGACTGCCTGGACTCCGCAGCGGAAGATGAAGTCACACTTCCAGCATCGGATTTGTTAGCGCGGGAGACCAGAACCTTTGCAAAGATGCTCAGCTCATTTTGCTCTGTTACCAGCGTAGGATTGGAATAAATAAACTATTCAGCTATTCCCTTTGCTCGGCAGTACCAAAGCAATCTGGAAAGCAAGAGGGACTGGAGCTTTATCCACTTACATGAACTGTGAAAAGATGATGAGCTTTGAAAAGCAGCCCACACCTCTGTAATGCTTGCAAACAGTGAGGAGTGGGCCCCCTTCTCCTCTCCCATGATGCACACCCTTCTGTTAAATTACTTTTTTTTTTAATGTGCAATCTGAAGGCCAGGCAGCTCCTTGTGTTTTAGTCTTTAGCTCGCATGACAAGATGGTCCCTTGGTCCCTTCTGAACACCTCTGGCGGGAGGGAGCCCCTGAATAAATGAGCTACTGACTGAAGCATCCTTTCATGCTCCTGTGGGGCGGTTCGCCTGCACGAGGGTTGAACGCGCAGCCAGAGCACTGCTGGGGCTCTGTATTCGCACTTTGTTCTTCTCCTCTCTCCCCCAGGCTGATCCTGTGAAGTACTGAGCCCTCCTGGAGCCAGTGGGAGTTAAAAAACATTCAATATCCTTCCAGCTTTGGCTACTTCATAATATAGCCATTAATGTATGCACAGCCTATTTTTAGAGCCTGTTACATGTTTTCTGGGTAAAAAAAACTGCTTGAAAGACCCTTTCCTCTCCCCCAACGTTGACATTGAATTTGATTTAATAGAAGAGCCTGAAATTCTTTCCATTAAAAAGTGTATTATAAATGCTCACGGAGCTGTAACTGCAGTTGAAAGCTAGGTATATTCCTGCCAAGGGGTAAACTTGCTTCATCTAATAGGGGAATATTTCTAGGGGAACAATTTACCCTTTATGAGCCTTCTTCCTAGAGACAACATAGAAAATATGCCTTCACTATGTTTCGAGCAGAACAAAATAAATTAAATACACCTGCAGGTACACTAACAAAAAGCACCAGCATAAAAATAGCCAAGACAAAATTTATCTGCGTTTTCAGTCTCTCAGCCTAATGCAATCAACCAACTGGGCAATGCAAGGTCTGCAGCACTGGGATTTGGTATGGGTTGTAATGATCCCTTGTATGGCCTAAGACTGCAAATTCGTTTTGCACATCGGAATAGAAAGCCCTAAAGTGTTCAGCAATGACAAGCATTATTATTCTGAGTCTGCAGAAGGGGAGACAGCCACAGAGCAGAGAAAGCAGCTTGCCTAAGCCCGCAAAAAGAGGTTGTCCTAGAGGTTAAAATATTTGTAGCACTTGGCACATGGGACTTGTATGCAACCCTTAGAGAACATACTGTTTTGCAGGGGAAAAAAAAAAAAGCACATTGCATATGTCCACTAGACTCATAAATGCAAAAGTGAATCATTTACACATACTAAGAAGGCATGGGTTTTGGTTGTTTTCCTTTTTTTTTTTTTTTAACCATGAATTAGCTCTAATGTTTTCCTTTTTTTTTTTTTTTCTCTTTGTAGTGAAGAAAAATTATCCCAGTTTAAAAATGGTGTGCTGAGGATAACAAATTCAAGCTGGGCATTTTTTTGCTACTGTTGTTAGTAACTGGAACAAATTCTTCCTTTGCTCTCCCTGCACCACCCTAGGATAAGTAATTGGCCTTGTTTTAGATGCTGAAACCTCTGGCTGTATCCGAACTGGTGATAAGTCTCACTGAAAACATACGAGCCATCCAGCTGAACTGCAGTACCCTGCTCTTGTACTTAAAATTAAGGGCACGTTAAGTGCTTAGCTATGTGAATATGGAGCCCTTCAACACCTGCCCATGGCAAGGAGAAGCTCTCAATGACAGAAATGCACGAGGAAGTTGCAGCAACAGGAATGCTGAGTATGAAAGAAATGCAGGATTGGACCCTGAGCCTGACGAACAGGTATGACTGAATTGCATTCATTCACCGTAGCTGCATCCGTAAGATACAGCTCATCAGTGTTTATGCTTCAAATGCTTCAAGTCAAAATAAGCGTGAGTGATTTGATGTGTCTACATGGCGTAATTAGAGATGTAAACAACGGCTGCCGTTGCAGAAACTAGAGCAATATGCTAAGTAACTACCTGAGTTATTTCAGTCGAGCTATATTCTGCATCATTAGTGTAATTACAGGAATAAAATTCAAGCCCATCATACCTTCGGTAGTTCAGCTTGTGTATAACAACCTGTTCTTCAGTTTTTGTGATGTTTCTTTCCCTATCACCAGGGTGGCCCATGCTCTCCCCAATTTTTAGCTGTCTAAACCACAAAGGAAAGATCCACTAATGAAAACAAGGTTAATTATGCTTTCATCAGAATGTTTTCAGAAGGGATTCCTTCTGAGAAACACTAGACTGGGGACTCCATTCATTCTGCTCCCTTCTGCCACAAAAAATAAAGTAAAACCACACAATGAATGTCTCTATTTATGTTTCAGAGTCCTTTTCATGCCAAATGTGTCTATGTGAATGTACCAAACATAAATGGAGCATTAATAATATACGACTATTTTTCCTTTTTCCTTTTTTTTTTTTCCTCCTATATTGCTCAGCACTCTATTTTTCTAACTCTTCCTGAGAGCAAGAAGGAAACCATTTCCCTGCCCCCTACTTCTTTGTTTCTTTTTCTTCTTATTCAGGAAGGGGCTTGTAGTGAATCCGCTAGGACTATTGTGCTATATTCATCGCTGTTACTTAGTGCAGCTCATGTGCGAGTCGAGGCTCTTTTCTCTATGAGAAAAGATATTTCCCTTTATAGCACTGTAAGTCAATTACTGTGTTGGCCTTATGTATTTTTCCCTTTGAACCAGACATATGATAAGTACTATCCCTAAAGCCCTTTTATTATTTATCATGTTATAAAAAACAGAGTACCTTGAACATGTGTATGGTTCCTGTATATGCTACACTCACTGAAGAAGGTTGTAGCACCTTCTTATAAGCAAAGGGCAAGATCTAATGGACAACTCTTGGTATTCTCAATATAAGGAGGTTAAGAAAGCACCTACAAAATTTTTGTCCTTGCAGAGGTCAGTGATGTTTTGTTCCTTAATAAATAAAATCATTAACTTTGACCAAAGGTTGACTCTCAACTGAACACACTGCGAAGCCTCAAAGGAACATGAAGAATGATGCAAGAGGCACACCAGTGGTTTTAGTACAGATGGTTTTTGGAAGAACAACCTCTACCCATGCTAAAGGCCTTTGGCTTTGATTGTACAATTGCTCCAAGCATAAAAAAAACATAGGCTTTCAACACTAAAGGTATTTTGTTTGTTTTATTTTGAAGAAAGTGGAATGGAAAGCCAGTGGGAATTGTTCCCATACAATTCAGGTATACAGCTCACTGCACTCCAGCTTAAGTTTCCAGCACAGTCAGGCTCAAATTAGGCCAGTTAAAAACCTACAGAAGCCTCCTGGTTTTCAGCACAAAATATTGTTATGTCCCAGGGGACAGAACCAACGGACTGTACCATGGTGCACCGATCCAACTTATTTTGTGTGACAGGAAGGGTCTGTACAGTCCTTGTCAAAAGCACAAGTCCTTGGTTGCCCCTGCAAGCAGAGGCTATGCTAATGCAATATCCTACTGCAAGATTACTGTAATTCCACTGCCTGCCTACTTTGGGCCCTTCTGCTGTACAGTTTTAGCCCTAGTCATCACTTATGAGCCCAATGCAGTCCTTAGTCCAAGACCATCTCTTCAGTCGCTTCAGTGAAACTAGAACAAATATAAATTAATTGTATTAGAAGTTTGCAGTTGTGCATACAATCATTAACCACAGGAAACATCTGGAAATTAAGAGAGTTCAAGGAGCTCTCCCCAAGCAGGACTAGGTTTTAATGGTAACAGTTCAAAAAAATGTGACAAAAAAATTAAAGACGCTATATAATGGGTAAGCAAAGAACGATGTCATACAGATGTCTCATGGAAAATACATATCACTAATAAGCAAAATTTTAAAAAATAACAAAAGAAGAAATTGAAAATATATAAAGCTGAAAGCAAAAGGTTTTCTGAAGAAATCTAGTAGGGAATTTAGCAATGAGGTCTGAAAGTCTTTCTTAACTTCAGTTCAGGGACTGAGTCAAAGAGTTCTTTGCAACCTCTGTAGATGGATGGGAACCTCTACATGAACAGAGGTTCACTGCTGCAGGAAGACCATCATGGTGCCAGATGCTTCTTTTATCCCAGACTACAGCAGCTTACACAGTATCATGATTTAAATGATTTAATTATGTACATAAATAAATGGGATAATAAAGCTGTATCTTACTGTAAATATGGCATAAATTGCATCTTCTGGCTGGTTTGTGGATCACTCTGATTCTTCAGTTGTTGCCTGGAAAAAAAAAATAAGGCTTGTTTTTCTTTTCTACTGCTTAGGTTTCTCTGTTTGCTAATTCTCCATATGCATAACTGAAGCAGAGGTGACAAAAACTGCCTGGAATGGTTACTTGTTGCTGCTAAACCAGGACTCACATTTTTTTCCTCTAATATTTAGTGAACATCCTATGCTAGTTCTTCTGTTATCTCAAAGTAACTGCTATACTTAGGCCTACTAAAAAAAGTTAAGATTAAATGAGAGGTATATACAATTAGCTAGATGTTTCTTCTCCAAATGAGATGTAAATTCCACTATTAAGTGCAATTTTCCTTGAAATGCATACTTTCGGAAACCCATTTGACAGTGTAGATTCCCAGTGCACGCTTTGTTTCAAAAAAGTAATGGCTCTGTGAGGATTCTCTTTGCCTTTCAATTGCTTTTCCATAACATCTGTGATCCAAACAACACAATACTGCTTGTGGAGTGCACCTCCCAAACAAAACAATCTAAAATAAAAGCACTGCTAACATTTTAATAATAGTGTTTGCTCACAGGGTCACAAATGCGAAGAAAGATTTTTTTGTTGTTGTTGCTGCAAGAATTTTCTAATCATTCAGCCTGCAGGACTGTATGGGAATAGAGGAGGAAACAGCCTTCAGGAGGACTGTATGCAATGGAAAATGCCTTCTCCCTCAGCCATAAAGATATTCCCCTCAAGAACTGGAAGCTTCTCTGCATCCAAGAATTTTAGAGTGACATAACTGCACAAGCCCAGCTTCATCAGTGCAAATCTCCAGGAAGCTCTGATTGCACTGATGTACAGGCATGTGTCAGCACAATTAAACACAGGTGCCAAGTAAGCCCATGCAGAAGTAGGCACAGAATCAGAGTTTTATCACAAAATGCTTCAGTGGGGCCACAAAAGTTTTCTTTTCCTTCCTAAAAAGTAGGGGCCAGGAAGGATCTCAGGAAGACAGAGGCATCTGCATAGATGAAAAAGAGATGAGAGACCATGGAAAGACCTGCAGGGAATAAGAAAACTGACAGTCTAAACCCTCAAAAGCACAGCAGCTTTCTTGTCTTTTTAGCTGCACAGAAAAATCAATGCTAGGGCCCTATCCTGAAAGGAAACAAGAAACACAAAGGCAGAGCAGCATAACTATCTGCCATCTGCTTGGGGGGAGCTGTCAGTCGCATGATTTGCAATAGGTGCTGGACTGAAGCAAGCCTGTCCTTCTGGCAGGTGGGGCAGCCACAAGCTTTTGCCCTCACCTTGTCTCGGCTCACAAAAAATACGTTCTTTCAAGCAAGAAATTGAACATCTTCCCTCTTTAGAATGGCTTGATTCCCACCACATGCCAGAAAATAAATAAATAAATAAAAGTTTCCAAAGTAGTTAGGAACATAAGTACATATATATATATATGTATATATTATATAGTCAGCCCCTTGCACAGCAGCTGAGTAAAACAAGTGAAACTCTTCCAACTTCCTCTTCTCCCCAGTTTTCATCTTATAAAGGCATGCGTGGGGGGAAAGACTCAACTGCCTCCTAATTGTTCCCCGGCTTCCTGTCAGAAAAATCCAGGCCTAAATCCCAGGAAACTTGTCATTCCCTGTCTGAGGCAGAGCTCAGAAGAACAATAGCTGGCTACAATCAACAGCAGCAGAGACTTAAACGTTTGCATTGCATTACACTACTGAGAAGTGCCACTGTATAACAGCAGCACAGGACACTTACAGTAGACATGTATTAGTAAGTCTAAGTACTGAAAATCACCAACTAATTTATCTTTCAGCTTCTCTGATGATTGCTAGTAAGAATTATCTCCCTTTAAAAAGCACCACCACCAGCAAACAGATGGATAGAATAAAAAGGTCTACAAAGAAATTCATCATAGCACAGCAGCAAAACCATGGCACAGTGCGGTTTAAAAAAGCATGCGCTCACTATTCCCAAAGCCATCATTTCTCATCTTCATTTCAGCTTCAAGGACTGATGATGCCTATAATGCCTAAGATGGTGAAAAGAGGGTGGCCCTTGAGTCATTATTCTCCATATCCTTCTCAGTGCTATCTCACAGCTTCTAAATTTATTAGATTAGCAGTTTCTTTTGAGATAAGCCCAAAACTTGTTTATACTGAGGCACTAAAAGTAGTTTTCCAAAGCCATATTTGGTACTCAAATGAGTTGGCCTGATATCCCCAGAAAAAGCAACCCTTCTCTGTCTCCTGGAGCAATGGGAGTTGTCCAGCGTGGCAGACAGGGCCTGTACATCTAGCCCCTCAAATGGTTGTTACTGGCAGGCAAGAGGCCATAGACTATGACTGAGGGAGATAAATATCAGAGTACCTCATAGGCTCTATCCTTCCAGAAAGTTGCCATTGTCTTGAGCTTACTTTCCACCACTGTCAGCATAAAAGTATTAAAAATGCATAATTTATTGCAGATTGCTTCAATATAGCTGAAAAGATCATCCCTGTAAAGGTCTCCCTCTTCAAATCCTGCACAGATTTCCTCTAACAGCGAAGGACATTAAAAAAAATAGAAGAAAGAAGTAGGAGATTTGAGACTAACTTATTTGAGAAAAAGGTGAAGTGTCATCTCTTATTTTTCTCTCGTGTTGCCGACACTCACTTGAGTCTCTCACTCTACACTGGGAACATCCAAGATGTCACCCATTTGGAAACTTGAAAAAATAATTCTGAGAACAATGAACAGGACTGGAGGCCCAAATCCCGTTTGATTGTCTGGCTTTAACACAGAACTGCACATAGAATCAGGCCATTCTGCAAGAAAGCATGATGTACAAACATGGTTGTATAAGCATCAGTGGATTCCTTGGGGAGATCCAGTCAAAACACAGCACATCAGGTAAATTAAGGGGTCAAGCAGAACACATTCTCTGTTCTGGTCAGAACTGGGAGGTTTAATGATCTAACTCTCTCAAAAGCAGACTGCTTACTAGAAGCATCTCTGCATATGAATGTCTAGTCTACCCACAGGCAATCAAGCTTGACCAAGTCATACAGCTTAAAAATGTCAAGATCACCAAGGAAATTCTGTGGGGAAAAAAAAAAAAGAAAAAAAGAATAAAACCCTTATTGTCCTATTACCACAAGGCTTTCTTTCTTCCAGTGTTAAAGTAATTCATTTTGTACAGATTTAACAAACTAAATCTTAAAGTCCCTCCTAAACCAGACTTGGATTCAAGCTACGCCATGCATTGGTGTAACCAATATCAGAATTCAGATTTCCATTCTTTGTCATTCCATACCAGGCAGGTTCCCTTCTCCTTCAGAATAAAGCGTAGGTGTTAGTTACAGAATTAAGGATTCATCTCTATGTAAGCAATGAGAAGTGCATACTTTACAGTACTTTTTGCCTCATTAAGAATACCATGGTATTTCTGAAGAGTGATGGTGACTCTTAGAACTAGTGACCATTTTAGAGATGGAAGTGCCACTACGTTGCTTTGCTTTCCCTAATAGGATCCTGAGCATGCAGTAGAAACTCCCTGTGTGTGTCTCAGTCTCCCATGGAGATCATTAACAGAGATCATTATAATTTTCAATAGAAGCACGTCACCACCCTTCTCTTCTCAAGGACAGGAAAGACCACTGGAAGGAACTCATCACAGTTATTAGGCCACAGGCTTCTTATGCTCAGAAAGGGCCACTGAGCTCTTAACTCCTTGAAGAAAGGGTCCACAGAAAGCTACAGGGAAGGAAAAGTGGAGGCTGGGGCTGCCTGGCCAGAAGCTGTGCTGCTGTGAAGGCCCTGGGGGTGGTGGTGGGCTGTGAGCTGGGCAGAAGGCCCAGCATGGCAGCCAGGAAGGCCCACAGCATCCCAGGCTGCACCAAGAGCACCCCAGGCAGCAGATCGAGGGCAATAGTTATTGCCATTTTCTTGGCACTAAATTAGACTGGAATATGCATTCAGTTCTGGCCCTCAGGACAAGAAGGAGGATGATCGTGTAGGGCAAGTCCAGGTGACTGGGGCACAGGCCAGTGAGGAGAGGCTGAGGCACCAGGGCTTGTTCAGCCTGGAGAAGAGACGGCTTCAGGGACCTGACAGCAGGCATCCAGCATCTCTGAGAAAAGATGAGAAGGGAGATGCACAGCAGAGAGACAGTAGCCACAAATTGAAAAGGGTAGAAGGGGGAAAATTCCCCACCGCGACAGTCAGACAGCAGCTCAGTTTGCCCAGACAGGCTGTGCAATCTCTGTCCTTGGAGGTTTTCAGGACCTGACTGGACAAAGTCCTGAGCAACCCAGTCTGATCTTATCACTAATCCTGCTTTGGGAAGGAGGTTGGACTAGAGACCTTCTGAGGTCCTTTCTAACTTAAATAATTTTATAGAAAATTACAAAGCAATAAGAAATGCAAAATATCTACACAAACAAGTAAAAATCTACCCCTTTTCACAGTAGATCTGCAAAGTTTTAGGAAGCAGGACTTTTCAGATGTGAGGTGTAAAAACAAAACCAAACAACCTCCCTCTTTCTCAGTCTGTAATACTGAGCTATTACATTAAAATCTACTCCAGATATCGTTATCTGACTTGTAAACTTTGTTCTGACTAGTCGCTTCAGAGATTAATGCATTTGGGATTCAGAAGAAAGAAATCGCTCCTTTCTTCTGGCAGGTATTCATAGCAAAGCAAAGAAGGGAGTGTATTATTAAAGCTTAACTGCTGTTTAAGCTTTTGAAATAGGACTTTTGCCTGTTTCTTCCAAGAAAATCCCTTCTCCCTTGCCCTACAAACATAAAAAACAGACTAAATCCACCAGTGTCATCCAGAGAGATTCTTATCCTGTTTACACTGGCCTGAGTCTGAATAGTTCCCCAAGAAAGAAATTCATCTCAATATACATCACTGTAACTGAGAAATGCATGACCTAATGAATTTCATCATAAACAACCATACCAGAAAGAAGAAAAAAAAAGCAGGCTAGGTGTTTTTTAAGAAGGCTGAAAAGGCATTGAAAGAAAGCAATTAGTGAATATCATT